TGTGGGTCTTTCAAACTTCCCTCTTACTGGCTTCTAGTTTCATACCATTGCCATTAAAATATTTGATATGATTTTAGTCTTTATAAGTTAAAAAGATTTGATTGGTAACCTACCATGTGAGCAATCCTGACAACATCAGTGTTCAGAGAAATGTGTTTTCTGTTAGTGCTGGTGGTGTGTTCTACGTATGTCTGTCAGGTCCATTTAGTCTATAGTGTAATACAAGTTCTTGGTTTCTCTATAGATTTTCTGACTAGATAATTGATCAATTACATTATCTTCTATAATTGCCTACATACTTATTTTAATGATAGAGTTTGTCAGGGGATGGATTGAAAGTACTGTCTGATATCATTGACACTCAACCTGAAGAGCCCCCTTCTTTTAAGACAGGTCTATAAAGAACAATTTCTCTCAGTTTTTATGTATCTTGGAATTTCTTTATTCTGCCCTCATTTTTGACAGGAGAATTTTTTCTGGAAAAAGTTTTGGTTGACAATTTTCACTTCTACCCTTCTGAAGATGTCATCCTACTGCCTCCAACTCCCATTGTTTCTGATGCGACATCTGCCGTTAACATAGTCTCATTGGGGTCCCTTGTCCTTGTCACTTTTATCTTGCTGTCTTCTGGATTTTTTTCTTTGTCTTTTGCTATCATTGTTTTTATTATAATTTATCTGCTATAGATTCAAATACACTTGTCTTATTTGGAGTTTTTAAAGTTTTGTATGTATGGATGAATGTTTTTCATCAAGTTCGGCAAGTTCACTTACTCTTTCTTTGGCCAGACTTTCCCCTTATTATTTCTTCTCTTGTTTATGCTTCCTCCTTCTTTCTACTCTCTCTTTCTGAAGCCCCATGTCGGTTAGTTTGCTTTTCAGTTCCAGAGTTGCTATGTGGTTCTTTTTTTTTTTATGTTTCTTTACTGATTCTTTATCTGGGGAAACATTGTCAGTATATCAACTTTATCTACACATGGTCCACTGTATTTCTTTGAATATACTTTAAATGTTGGTTATATTTTCTGGTTTGATTGTTTCTAGTAAGTTTTGCTTAATATCCTGAAATTCAGATAATTTACTATAATATGTCAAGATCCTGATTCTCTCACTTGACCCATGGTTGATGGTATCATTTTACTTGGTCATTTATTTATTCATTTTAATGAATTGGTTGAATTGGTGCTGAAATACACCTCAGACATATTGTGTGACCTCTAGTATCTCTATTTAGACTTTTCCCCTTTTATCTTTTAACCCAGATGCCAAGGTAGAACCTGGATTACCATAAATAAAATTTTTATTCTTGTTGTTAAATTTTGTGATTAAGCCTTCTTAGTAAGGTATTGTTTTTATTGTGTTGCTGTTATATGCAAATATCTTTCTCACTTTAGGGAGATTATATTCTTCACTGTCATTAGCCAGCTCCACATCCCTGAATTAACTTTGGAATAAATTGTTGAAAAGTCCACAGGTATTTTTTCCATTGAGGCAAAGCCATGGAAGGGAAGAATGCACATTTCTCTTTGTTGTGCTTGTCCAGAATATTGCGTCTTTAACTTGGGTAAATAAGAAATCTTAATTACCTGTTCTTCCCAGGTTACTGTGTACCCCACATTTGAACTTGAGGAAAGGGGATGACCCATTTTCTTGCTCATTTCCAATAGGAATTGAGTTCTCTTAGTAGTTTCTATAAGAAATATCTTGGGTTATATCACAGATGCTATAGACTCTTTTGGTTCATAGAAAGACTTAGATTTTCTTAAATGAATCCTTATCTTTGATTTGATGCTTTTAATAAAATTGGGAGAAACTTAAATAATCGTGTATGTGGGGATATATTAAATAATTCTCTCTAGTTATGCAATAACATACAGTATCCAAATTCTCTGTATATATTTTCCATCTTTACATGGCTATTTTTTGTTATATTTCCTTTATTTTTAAGTTGAATTTTTGGTTTTTCATGACAGGTTTATTCTGTGTATATCTGGCTCTTCTGGAATGTCCTATAGACCAGAACTCATAGAGATATGCCTGCCTCTTCCTCCCAAGTGCTGGAATTAAAGGCATGTACCACCACAACCAACTACTCTCTTTCTTTTCTTTTTTTAAGGACTTTCTCTATCCTTTTTCTGTTCTTTCCCAATTCTACATATATTTTTTAACACACTGTAATCCATTTAGCTTTTTTTTTCATCTGATTCCATCTTCACTGTATATCTCTCTTCTTTTCTGACCCCATGAGCCTTTAATTTGCTAAGCAATATGGCTAGAATTAAAGCTGCAGCTTTGGTGGCTGGATCCACCTCATGAGAGTCTAGCTTATAGTGGAGGTACTGGTGAGAGCCATGTTTTTTACCAAAACATTGTGGGGTTTATAGGTCCATGCTACCACCAATAAGTATGCTGCCAGGCTGCTCATAAATATCATTTTAGTGCCAGAGCCTCTTAAAAGAACTACATGATTTTTGCTGCTAATGCTGAGTCAAGAAACCTCTCTTAAAGGAGTGATGCCTCTGCTCACCTCTAGCAAACAGAGCCCAGCTGAGAACATGCTTCTACCAAGAAGTCATGTTTAACTCTGTTCTTTTATGTCCAGAATCCCTTCTCAAGCTCTCTCAGGTTTTATGTTGAGTAGTTGCCCCATGTTGGCACTATTTGTACACTGAAGTTTCTGTCCCACCTGATCCAACAGTCATTCAGTCCCAACAAAACCCACAAAAACTTATATTAATGATAGACCGGTTAGCCTATTAGCTCAGACTTATTATTAGCTAGCTCTTACAACTTAAATTAACCCATAATTCTTTTCTATGTTTAGCCACATGGCTTGATACCTCAGCGAGGCATTCTCATCTTGCTTCCTCTGCATCAGTCTGGTGACTACAGACTGAACCTTTTTTTATCCCATAATTCTTCTAGTCTGGTGGTCCCACCTATACTTCCTGCCTGGCTACTTTCCAATCAACATTTTATTAAACAAGTACAAGGCACAAATCTTTACAGGATATAGGAGCATTGTCCCACAGCAGTTGGTTTCCACAGAGAAGCGATGAGACATCAGGATTATAGCAGCATTCCTCAGAGTGGCCTTGAAGTAGAAACCATCCGAATGTCTATCATTTGATGAGTGAAAGCATACAATGTAGTTGAGAACTTCCATCGAAAATTGTTTTGCATGAAATGATACATTCAAGAATTTGACCCTGACTCAGCCTTTTGTTACTCAAACAAATCCCTGACATTAACACCTTACTGGTAGGAATTGCTGATTTTGACTCCTGGTTATGGAGCATTGGACAAGACCAAGGGGCTGGTTCACCACCATCCTGTGGTCCTTTTCTGGGAAACATTCCTATACTGCACAGCCCGGGAAATTCCCTAAGCAGGGTTGCCTAATGAGTCAGGATCCCAGAGTTCAACCTGTCTGTGCATGAGGTTTATAGGATAGATATTTCAATGACTGAGCTGCCTATCTCTCATGCCTACTTTCAACAAAAGTTAACCTTCTTCTCAGTAGTATACGTGGTGATTGCTCTTTATATTAGCATTAACTGATAAACATGTTACTGCATTACAGTATGCTTGTATGTGGGCATACATATACTTGTGTGTGTTCATGAGTTTATATGTGTGCATGTGAGTGAGCAACCCTTCACTGAGAACACAATCTTCTAATGAACAGGAGCAAGAAAGCCTATATGAAAGGCTGAAGAACCTGCAAAAACAGAAGGAGCTGGTCACCCAGCAAAGGGACTTGGCAGAAAAGCTGCAGTATCACATCAGTGTCCCTGAGATGACGTAGGAACCAAGGTTGAGAGAAGTAGTTAGAACCATGTATGCCACCGGTACCTAGATCTCTGTCTCTTTTGGGCCTCTTGCAATGTAGATATCTCTCAGCCACAGTCAGGAAAAGAACTCCACAGGGTATTGTGCTGGTCCTATCAACAAGAACTTCACCAGGAAATACTGTTTGATCCTTAGTGTTTCTAGGGATTGTTTACACCTTATTTCCTTCTGAGTTCTCTGGTATCTTATCACTACCTGTGTCTCCCCCAAATCTCCAGATGGTAGTCCTAAACCTAGGAGGAGGGGGGTTAGATGTGGACAACAGCGTATGCTCCTGCCACCACGTATTCCTTCCAAAACGTCACCTTTAGAGAGAAGTTTCCACTTTGGGCAGATCTGCATGCACACTCCTGCTGATTATAGGCTCTCTGCAGAGTGCATCTGTTTCCTGTGAAAAGATTTTTCTGGTTATAAAGAAGATGTAGGGATTGAGGAGTTAAACCCAGGCATATTTCTGTGCTGTAGGAATAATTAGACCCTTCAATGCTATTATTTTATTGGCTTCACTAGAGGATCTACATTCGATTTACCAGGTGGCTCACACTCACCTGGTATCTAATCAAGGCCATGAATATCTGTCCTGAACTGAACTGTTACTCAGACATTGATACGCTGCTATTATTTCCAAAATACTGTATCTAGACAACTAGAGAAACGTGCTGCATTTTCTTGCTCAGCACAGTGTATTTCTCAGTTGATCTTCTAGTAGATTTTAAAATCTAAGAAAAACATCCAGGACCAGGTGCACTCTGACCCTTCTCCCTTGAACAACCTCAGCTGGAAAGTCATGCTGGTTTGTCCAGTAGAGTAAAGCTGGTTGAGGCTCAATAGTGACATAGCAGGGCCCCCACCACGCCTGTTCCATAACTGCCTTCAGAAAAATCTCCATTCTGAGGTGGAACAAGCCACGTCCCAGGATGAGAGCCTCCCACAGACAGAGCTGCTGCAGCAGGAAAACTAAGTCTTGCAGGAAAGTGAGTCGCCATTTCATCCCATCCCCAGAAAATGTGGCATTGGTTGGGGAGCTCGGGACTCTTGACCTTGGCTTTCAGTGTGAATAGGCCCAGTGCTTCTTGATCTGACTTCCTTTCCTTCTCACATAGCAGTTCTTGAGAGAACTGAGGAGGCCAAATAAGTTATATATTCCTTGAACCCTTGGCATTCTACAGCTTGAAATGAAGGCCTCCTCCTCAGAAAACACCCCCTTATAGCTGTAAACTCACCAATGATTCAAATAGCAGCTGACCTCCAGGTGATCCAGTCTCAATCACCATAGGTCTTTTGATATCGTTACTCCTGAAGCAGAGAAAGCATCAAAAATGAGCTTGAGACACAGAAAACCTAAGAAGAGAATTACTGAGAACACTGACATTCAACACCTAGTGGTCCCTGTGATGGAGACAACAATACGGCAGGTAGAGATTATTGGTGACCAAGACATTTCCTGACAGTTTAACGCTGACAGCTTTGGCAAGTTGACTGAGTTCTTTGCCTTGCCTATGTGGTGGGAAATCTGTCATGGAAAACAGAGTTGATGCCAAGCTGTTCCAGAAAGACCACAACCAAAAGCATAATATGTCATCCTCTTGTCCAGTGTTGAAGCTGACTCCATGTCATTCCTAAGTGTTGCTGAAAACAATGCAATACAGAGATATCGGCAGTCCCTTAATCCTTGGCACAGTCATTTTGTCTCTGTATGTAAAATGAATGGATATTCTTCTGTTTCACAGCCTAGACTGAAGTGACTGGCCCTGAAAAAGGGCCAAATAGTTCAATAAATAAAATGCTATCATTCAGAAAGATATTTTTCTTTAATTTTTTTATTCTTCTTGAGATAGGTTGTAACTTGATGTATCGGTGGGTCTCAATGGAGAAGCTTCAAAGGACCAAGAATCAAGTGGAGCAGAAACTAGAAAGAAAAGTGAGAATTATATGCTTAATCTTAAAGGTTTTAGAATTAGCTTAGCAGAAGTCAGTAAGGAACATTGAGAGAACCACCAGTGTTTAAGAATAAACTTATGTATGGACCACTATAATACAAAATGAAAAGAATTATGATGTGCTCATTGTTGCACCCAGACTTTGACATCATCATGGCTACATTTTTCAATCCTATCTAATGAACAACCATGTGTTAAGTCACTAAGATCAAGCAGTAGAGTCGATAGGACAGGATCCATTACTCAACCACCATATGATAGTCTCTCCAAATCAGATGAGTGGATAGTGCCCACTCGAGTCACAGATTCTATGCAGGTATAATATAGGAAGCTACTGGAACACACAGAAGAAACTTAGAAGTCAGTCTTGGGTCAGTAATATAGGATCTGTGATGGAGGGGAATGGTTCATAGATAGTCAACCAGAAAAACAGAAGTAGTATCTGAAGACAACTAGGGGTGGAAAAGCACAAGGGTGATGGCAAGTTGCAGAGAAAGGAGTGGCCAAAGATGGGCATGAATAACTGGAGAACTGTCTAGCTCATAAGGATGTGTTAGTGCAAGCGAAGGAAATTACATTTATCCTGAGGGAAAAGCAGTGGGGTAAGAAAACAGTAACAATGGTACTTGCAGGGGACATCTTGAACAGGGATGGCTTTCTAAGTGTTACTGGATGAGTCTGTTTGTTCTACCCTCAGCCTGAGACAGTGATGATGGCAGAAGTGAGGAAAGTGCTGGGCTAGAAAGCATGGAAGGACAGAGAGTCTGTGAGATATAAAAGCCACGGATAATGAAAAATGAGGAATAAATTCATATCTCATTAGGAATCTGTTGTAAGAAGGCCACTTGTTGGTGCCCGGCTAGCTCAGTCAGTAAAGCATGAGACTCTTCATCTCAGGGTTGTGGGTTTGAGCCCCATATTGGGTACCATTTATTGACAGAGGTTTCTCTCCCACCCGGTCCCACAGATGTTTAGTTCCAAAGAAACACACAGAGACTTACATTAATTATAAACTAGTTGGCCTAGTAGCTCAGGCTTTTCTTATTAACTAATTCTTACATCTTAAATTAACCCATTATTCTTGTCTATGTTAGCCATGTGGCTTGGTACCTTATATCAGTGAGATGTCTCATCTTGCTTGCTCTGTGTCTGGCTTCCTTGTGATGACTGAAGACTGGCTCTTCCTCTTCCCAGAATCCTTCTGTTCTTGTCACCCCACCTATACTTCCTGCCTGGCTACTGGCCAATCAGCATTTTATTAAAATAATACAAGTGACCGATAAAAGACCATTGTCCCACAGCAGGAATGCGTATGTTCACATCTTTTGTTTGATCTACTTAGGTAGGAAAAAACCTAACGTAGAAGTTTTCAAACAAGAGGGAAAATGTTATATTTGCTTCTTATAATTTACTTTAGAAATCAATTACTTAATCTAAATTTAACTCTCAATTAGAAAGCATACCTTCTTCTGCTTCTCTGGCTATGTGCTTTACCAACCTCATCCGCCTCTGAAATAAGTCAAATGTTACTTATAGAATGTTTAAAAGTTATTATGATAAACACGATAGATATTTGAAAACATGATTTTAAGTGAGATTTTATTTTATTCAGTTGTGAAGTATCTTTATTTATCTATTTATTTATTATTGATTTTTATTGAGATCTACATTTTTCTCTGCTCCACTCCCTGCCTCTCCCCTCCCCTTCAACCCTCTCCCAAGGTCCCCATGATCCCAATTTACTCAGGAGATCTTTTAAACTTAATGAGGATTGATTTAAGAAAACAAAACTATATAAATAAAACTCTCACTTATACTTATTTAAAGATTAGATCAGAAAACATATCTGTGCTACTGAGATCTGAACAAGAATACAATGAATATATTTTACTAAATATGCATTAATAGATTGTTTTATTGATGCAAATATTAAATTAATATATATTTATACTGAATGCAATATTTTATGAATTGTAGTAAACTTCTATACCAGACATGGACACAGTATACATAACTATATATAGGCAAAATACTCATATGCACAAAATAAAAATTAAAAATCTTTTATAAAAGGCTTTCTAGTTATAGTCACCTAGTTAATTATAAAATGCATAAAAGTACTCAGACTATATTGAAAATGTCACCCATCCTCATACTGCCATTTAAATCTTTATAAGAAATTGGATTATCTTACTAGCACCCCAAGCAGATCCTAAAACAGAAATCATAACACAGCCTATTTTGATGATAATGAAAATATGACATTCAGTGCCCTGATTCCTTTTAGTTGTAAAGATGCATTTCTTTGACTGACAGCTTTAGGGCTTGCAGACAGCAATTTCCATGACATTTCTGTGACAATAGCATTATAGAAAGGTCTGGCAAATGTAACAGTTCAGCACCAGAAGAGATTGCCATTAATAAACACTGTATAAAGTGTCCGATTTTTAAAAGGCTCTATGTTTAAAACTATCAGTGTGGCATTATTTCCCATACAAGTTCTTTTCTGAATTATTTAACTCTTATATGTAATAGGTTTTATTATTTACATATACTTTTTCCATAAGTATTTTCATGGCATAATTTCCTCTTGGTGGCTAGAAAAATGGCTTAGTCATTAAGAGCATATGCTGTTCTTCCAGAGGACCTCAGTTCAGTTCCTAGCACCCATGTCAGGCAACTCATAACCCAACTGTAACTCTAGCTCTATTTTAGACCCTCCTTGGAACCTCAGCAGAAACACACACACGCACACACACACACACACAATGCAGAAAATGAAAAAAAGAAATAGCATTGCCCAAAGTTTTTTATTTTGTCCTGACTTTTGCCTAACAAAAAGCATCCTTTCGTTTCTTTTCCTTTCCTTTTTTTTCTCTTCCTCATTCTCTCAGCTCCATTCATTTGATTGCTTGCTTGTGTGTTTTGATATTGACTGAGTCCAAGAGCTTGTGTGAGCTAAACATGTTCTTTTTCCTCTGAGCATACCATAACCTTGTATGAACAGATCTTATCTGTGAATAAGTCCTATATTGGGTTTAACAAATATAAGTCGATATCACTTTTTTCCTAGTTCTTAAAGAACACCTGACAGAGTAGTTTCCTGTACCCTAGATATGCTGTGGCTTCACCCTACACATTTTTTTTCCTTCCCTTCAGTGAGTCTACAAACACAAATGCTCAATTAAAATGGTCAGTATTGACACATGCGACAAGAGCTTTAAGACAGGCCCATCAGAAAGGAAAAGAAATACATATAAAGACTTCATCTTTATTTATTTTAATTTCAAATGCCTTAGAAACATTTTAGTGTGAACAGTCAGAAACATGAAGATCTAATGTACAATAGGATAATCTGTCAATAAATGAGGAAGTTAACTACTTGGAAGAAACTGGACGTGAGACAAGAGAGGAGAATAAAGAGGGATTTCCTCCCCCTCCTTGAGTTGTGATAGAAAACTTCGACCTTGAGCTTTCTGCCCAACTTCAAATCTTCAAACTATAGAAAAGGCCTTGAGACATAAAAAAGCTAATTCCCAAAACAAGAGGAAGTTTATGAAAATGAAAGTTTACTTCCAGAAATAAGAGGAAAAGAATGAAACACAAAGCAAACAATAAAAAGGTGTTTCAACAAGAATTAAACCAAACAGAGGCCTCGATAAAGAGAGCTAAGTTTGATCATAGATCTTTACCACCACCTTGTGACAGCATACAGGAATGATTACTGGGTCTTAAAAAAAAAAAAAAAAACACCTCCTCAGGTGTATCTAGTAACTGCAGCAAATACCAGCAGATATTCAAATTCCTCAAGGTTATGTACAGATTGATTGAAAACCTCTAGATATAACAGATATGAGATGATTAAAGGAAGCAATGGTGGCATTTGGAATGCATTTGTGAGTCAGATAATAAACAACTGAACTACACAGAATAGAGTTAAATCACAGACTAGAAGGACTTAAAGACAGCTGTATTAGAAGCTGGTCCTCAATCACAATGACTTACATGATGGAGAGAGGAATCAGTGGCCATGGAACAGCATAATAAGGCTAGAGAAATAAACATACCAAGGGATCATTTGTTAGTTGAGGATCAATTTACAGACTGGCATAGGCAATAACAACTTGATGATGCTACTGTTGCACAATGTCCGTTAGTGGCTTGAAGGTCTGAGACAGAATGGAGGAACCAAGAAAAAAAGACTGTATCTTTAACTAAAATATCCCAAAGTCCTGGTGAGCTTTATACTGACTTTTGGCGAAGATTATCTTCAGCAGTGCAAAGAGCAACAGCAGATCTAGATATAAGAAAGGTGTGACTTGAAGCTTTGGCTTTTGTTCCTATTAACATTCACTATTTCCATGTCTATGTGAACTTTTTAAAATTTGCTGATAACACTGCTAAATACTGCCCTAGAGTAATGAATGACAGCACTACCTTACTGTCCCAAGAAGATAGCAAGCTGACATATGGGCAAGCAGAAGCTTTTCATTCTACCAACTTATAAATGTCTCAATAATAATTCCGCTAATACCTTACTAGCTTCAACCTCACCTGGAACCAGATCATCTTAGGAAATTCAAACATTTCCATCCACAAAGCAAATTCACTGAACTCCAAAGCTCACATCCTGACAACAGAACCCATGACGTAATTGTGTCCCAAGGTTTTATGATACTCAGTCAGTGTGTATTAACTTCATAGACTCCCCACTTCCAAATCCAGAATAAGATGATTGCTAGATGGGAGCCATTTAATTCTAAACAGAATAAGAAAGATAAGAGGTGCAGGAACAACTGTGACTGAACTCACTGAGACTGGATCCCATCCATTGGACCCTGAAAACTACAAGTTTCACTCTGCCTCCAAACACTCTTCTCCCCCCTGCCCGCAACCTCAGAGGAATGCTAAAATACAAGCTGCAACTACACAGAGAGGACCAAGAGAGAGAGTCAAGAGGGTGAACCAAGACATCAGACTAACAGAGCAGGCCAAGAGAGACCTCAGTGGCTCCCTGAGACACAGACAGTGACAGTACAGAGCAGACCAAGAACAAAGCGGCAGACAATCACTTCAAGAATTGGAGCAAGAGAGCAAATACACTGCCAGCATCAATTGGAGAAGAGATGGATAGGTGCCAATGCAAGAATTCATTCAATAACCTAAAAAGCAACATGGTAACACCAGAATGCTGTGGTCATATAACAGGAAAATTGGATCATCCTCACACAGAAGAAGCAGAAGAAAATGATTTTAAGCATAACTTTATGAGGATGATGGAGTCCTTTAAAGAGGAAATGAAAAAGTCTCTTAAAGAAATGGAGGAAAAGATAAAAAAAATTGGAAGAATACAATACATCTCTCAATGAAACACAAGAAAAAAAAACAATCAGGTAAAGCAAACAGTTCAAACAGTTCAAGACTTGAAGACTAAAATAGAGCCAATAAAGAAAACACAAACCTACAGAATTCCAGCTATGGAAAATGTGAGTAAATGAATGGAAACCACAAAGGCAAGCATAAACAACAGAATACAAGAGATAGAAGAGATAATCTCAGTTGTTGAAGATACTACAGAGGAAATAGATTCATTGGTCAAAGAAAATATTAAATCCAACAAACTCTTAAAACAAAATATCAAGGAAATCTGGAACACCATGAAAAGACAAAACCTAAGAATAATAGGGATAGAAGAAGGACAAGAACTCTGACTCAAAGACACAAAAAATATATTCAACAAAACCATAGAATAAAACTTTCCCAGTCTAAAGAAGAATATCCCTATGAAGGTACAAGAAGTTTACAGAACACCAAATAGACTGGAAATTAAAAAAAAAAAGTTCCCTCACTGTGTAACAATCAAAATTCAAAACATACAGAATAAAGAAAGAATATTAAGAGCTGCAAAAGAAAAAGGTCAAGTAACATATAAAAGCAGACCTTTCAGAATTACAGCCAACTTCTCAATGGAAACCATGAAAGCCAGAAGATCCTGGACAAATGTGCTGCAGACACTAAAAGACCACATATGCAAGCCCAGGTTATTATACCTGGAAAAGCTTTTAATCACCATTGATGGAGAAAACAAGATATTCCATGCCAAAACCAAATTTAAACAATACCAATCCACAAATCCAGCCTAACAGAAAGTACTAGAAGGAAAACTCCAACCCAAGGAAGCTAACTGCACCCACAAAAACACAGGCAACAGATAACCTCACATCAGAAAACCCCAAAGAATGGAAACACACAGACACTACCACTGAAAAATAACAGGAATTAACAATCACTGGTCATTAATATCTCTTAATATCAATGGACTCGATTCACCTATAAAAAGACACAGGCTAAAAGAATGGGTATGAAAACAGACCCCATCTTTCTGCTGTATATAAGAAACACACCTTCACCTCAGAGACAGATATCACCTCACAGTAAAGGGTTTGGAAAATACTTTCCAATCAAATGGACCCAAGAAAAAAAGCAGGTGTAGCTATCCTAATATCTAACAAAATAGACTTCAAATTAAAATCAATAAGAAGAGATGGAAAAGAACACTTTATACTCATCACAGGAACAATCCATCGACATGAAGTCTCAATCCTGAATGTCTATGCCCCAAATACAAGAACAGTCACATATGTAAAAGAAACAGTACTAAAGATTAAACCACACATTAAATCTCACACAATAATAGTACGAGGCTTCAATACCACACTCTCCCCAATGAATAGGTCAACCAGACAGAAACTTAACAAAACTAATCTTTTTCTAAGGTTTATTTATTTATAATGTATACAGTGTTTTGCCTGCATGTATGCTGCAGGCCAGAAGAGGGCATCAGATCTCATTCTAAATGGTTGTGATCCACCATGTGATTGCTGGGAATTGAACTCGGGACCTCTGGAAGAGCAGCCTGTACTCTGAACCTCTGAGCCATCTCTCCAGCCCCAAGAAAATGAATCTTTAACCTCGTCTCAGGTGGTATTCAGCTCTCTGAATGTATGGTCCACATATCCAGACGAGAGAATTCCCTTTATTTGTAATCCAAAAGGACCAGAGACTTCACTTTCTGCATACAAAACTAAATGGTCTGGTGGCAATGGTACTTCAAAGGCAGTATCTATGCAATGCTATAAGAAGAATATTTTATATAGCACTGAACCAAATTGGAAAGGTGCCAAAAGCCTTAGTAGAAACATAAGGCTAAAGCAATCTATAAAACTACAAAATCTGGTGTTATGATTACGGTACAAGTTGGGACCCTAGTGGGTTCCATGGCAGGTGAGGACTGCAGGCAGGAGACAAATATGCCATACAGACAGAGCTTGAATGTGGAGTTTATTGAGAGGAGGATAGAGAAGAGGGAAGGGGGAGAGAGAGAAAGAAAGAGAGAGAGACAGAGATAGACAGAGAGAGGGGGAGAGAAAGAGAGAGACAGAGACAGAGAGACAGAGACAAAGAGAGAGTGGAGGGGGAGAGAGAAAGACATAAAGCTGCCTTCTCAGAGAAAATGGCAGAAGAAGAGAGAGAGAGTAGGTGGGCCTTTTCTCTTAAAGGAACATTTTGCACCTACATACAGACTAGGACTCTGGGCTGGCCAGGGTACTGCCTGAATGCATTCTGCCAGATGACAGGGCAGGCCAGGATAATGCCTGATTCCTCACACCTGGTCCTCAGATTTGTCCAAACAGAACTCAAATACTTGATCTTGTTTTTCTTGGACAATTTCTTCCAAAGTCCTTATCACTGCTTTGTTCCTTATCCTGCCTCTCAGCCCTTCCTCCTCAACTACCTTTTATCCTTGTTAAGTCAAAAATATTCAAAATCATGTATGAGTCCTTAGCAATAGACAGTCAAATTCCAGCCTATTTGAAGAAGGTACAACACTCTTCTTCAAAACAATCCTTTACCCAGACAGGCAGGGACATTTTTGTGTCCCTTGTCCTTGGGAGAAACCTAGAGAGTTTGGTTTTGGTTTTGTTTCTGTTTTCCTTTATTTTCCAATTAAAATGAATTTTCAAAAGTCAGGAGGAGGTGTTTAAAAGACAAAACTTTATGTGACCTTAATAAGAACTATGTTAGGAAAGCACAGAGCAGATTGTGTGGAAAGGGTCTGAATATTCAAGTATGCTACTGTGTTGTGGATAATGCTTCAGAAAACGAAATTTGTAATACACATCTTGTATGTGAGGTCATTTTTACTGTTCATTTGTGGCCAATATCACTTTAAAACTATATATTTTCTCTATTAAAGGAGCTTATCTCGTTTTTAAAAATGAAAAGTACAAAAAGAAAAAAATCAAACTTAAAATGACTGTTAACTCAAAAAGACCATGTCTTTCTTTGAATCCCAGAATAGGAGAGAAGTACTGTGTCCATACTATGATATCAGTCTGCTGAGCCAGATAAGGGACAGATAAGGAAAATGCTGTCTCTCTACACCTGATCTGTAACTTGCTCTGCAATTATCTTACAGATCACTCCTGGGAACCACCCTATAAAAACCATCTGGGAAACCTAACAACTGAGTATTCTTGAAAAGACAAGCTCTAGTAACTCATTACAAAACAAAACAAAACAAAAAATATATGTTTGCTCGTGAAAATAAGATTATTGTGATTTTTACTTAACCTGTCTCATTCAGCTAAACAATTCAGTATTTCATCAGATTTAAAACAAATATCTTATCAGAAATTGGAGTTTTCTCGAAGGAACTAAAGACAATTTCACTAACCTTGGACAGGTCCTTCCTTACACTCGCACAAACAGGCTGAGGCTCGAAGGTAAGAAGAAATGAGGCATCTCTTAGAGGAAAACTGGGGCTGTGGCCCACAGCAGGATTAGCTTTGGCAACATGAGGGAACTTTTGAACAGGCAGGGAACTCAGAACCGTTCCCACAGTTATCTTCCGCTGATTCGCCCACATCAGCTTTGCTGTAGAAACCTCTAGCCTTCCCATTGTCCTGAGAAGATTGCAGCAAGGCCATATTTAGTGTCTCATTTTTCTTCCAAATTACTCTTGTAAATTATGCATGTTAATTATATAGTTTACATAATTAATTATGACTTATTTTGCTTTGGAAATGCTGTAGGAATAAGCATAATGTCTCATTAAATGATCTTCAAGCTGAAAACATATCGGATTGTACCGAGTATAGACAATTACGGACTTAAAATTGTCATAAAAGAAGTACTTCTACTCCCAGATGGATTCCTCACTCACGATACAAAAGGCGTCTGAGAAGGAGAGCTGATTATCAGTGAGTCATAATTCACAGGCAGCACTGATGCCTTCTAGAAAGTTCTACTAACAAGATTCCTAAAGATGACAGCAGAAGAGTAAAATACGTGCAATTGTGAGTATGTTTTAAAACAGTGAGTTACGTATATGTGAATTATGGTGTTGTGCTCCTGAAATGAATACAACTAAAAAGAGCCAGAAAACCTTGTGGTTTTGGTTTTCAGTTTGGGTTACAAAACCAACTTGGGTTTCAAAAAAATTATTCCTTAAAATCATTTGCCACTTATTTGCACTCACCATCTATGCACTCTGTCCACAACCTATTGTGGTCGTTTGAATGTAATTGGCCCCCATATTCTCACAGGGAGTGGCACTATTACAAGGAGTGGGTATGGCCTTGTTGGAAGAAATGTGTCATTGTGTGGGTGGGGTTTGAGGTTCCAAATGCTCAGAACACTGCCCAGTGTCTCAGTTGCCGTCCTGTTGCCTGCAAGATGTAGGAATCTCAGCAACTTCTCCAGCACTATGACTGACGGCATGCCACCATATCCTGCCATGAAGAAAATGGAGTGAACCTCTGCAAGTATAAGTGAGCCACGCTCATAAAGGTTTTCATTTAAAAGGGTTGCTTTGGTCATGATGGCTCTTCATAGCAATAAAAACCCTAACTAAGAAAGAAGCTGGGACCAGGGGTTGGGTATTTTTATGATAGACCTGACCATGTTTTTGTTTGCAGTAATATGAACTTTGGGAGTTTGAGTTAGGGAAGCAGTGGAATTCTTTAATCACTGCTTAATATGCCATACTAGGAGGAGTATGGAAGTCAGTGGTACTGAATGTGATTTGAAGAACTGTAGGGATCAAGAGGGTTCAGGGGAGAAGAATTTTATAACATGGCCTAGAGACTGATCTTGTGGTATTTGGGTAAAGAAAGTGACTGTATTTTCCTCTTGTACGAAGAGTCTGCTTAAGGCTAAAGTGAAAAGTTTTGGATTAATTCCACTGACAAAGGAAATCTCAAAAGAGCCTAGTATAGACTTTCTCCTGTGGTTATTAGTGGTAACTCTAATGAAGGAAAATATAAACAAAAAAGTTAGAAGAAACCAATAAAATTGAAGAAAGCCAAGAAAACAAAATCAAACAGGTGAAGAAAAGAGTTCAAAACTTGAAAATTGAAATAGAGGCAATAAAGAAAACACAAACTGAGGGAATTCTGGAAATGAAAAATCTGGGTAAATGGAAACTACATATTTTAGCACAACCAACAGAGTGCAGGAGATGGAAGAGAGAATATCCGGCCTTGAAGATACGAGAGAGGAAATAGATTCATCACTCAAAGAAAATATTAAAGTTAACAAAGTCATAAAAAAAAAGGCTCAGGAAATCTGGAACACCATGAAAAGACCAAACCTAAGAATAATAGAAAAAGAAGAAGGAGAAGAATACCAGCTCAAAAGCACAGATAATATATTCAACAAAACCATGGAAGAAAACTTTTCCAAACCAAAGAAGGAAATGCCTATGAAGATACAAGAAACTTACAGAATAATAAATAGACTGGACCAAAAAAAAATGTCCCCTTGCCACAGAATAATCAAAACATTAAACATACGGAATAAAGAAAGAATATTAAGAGTTGCAAAGGAAAGAGACCAAGTAACATATAAAGGCAGACCTATCCGAATAGCACCCAACTTCTCAGTGGAGACTCTGAAAGTCAAAAAGTCCTAGCCAATGTTATGCAGACACTAAGAGACCATGGATGCCAACTCAGACTACTATAGTCAGCAAAATTTTCCATTACCACAGATGGAGTAAACAAGTTATTCTATGGCAAAACCTGATTTAAGTTATCCATAAATCCAGCCCTGCACAAAATACTAGAAGGAAACTTCCAACCCAAGGAAGTAAGCCACACCCACAAAAAACAGCAATAGGCAATAGATATTCCCACACTAGCAAATCCCAAAGAAGAGAAACACAAGCACACTATCACCAACAACAACAAAAACAAAAAAATAACAGGAATTAGCAACCACTGGTCATTAATATCCCTTAATATCAATGGATTCAATTCACCTATGAAATGACACAGGCTAACAGAATGAATATGAAAACAAAATACATCTTTCTGCTGCATACAAGAAACACACCTCAACTTCAAACACAGACATTACCTCAGAGTAAAAGGTTAGAAAAGATTTTACAATCAAATGAACCAGGAAGCAAACTGGTTTAGCTATCCTAATATCTAACAAAATAGACTTCAAACTAAAATTAATCAAAAGAGATGGAAAAGGAAATTTCATATTCATCACAGAAAAAAAAATCCATCAATATGAAGTCTCAATCCTGAACATTCATGCCCGAAATACAAAGCCACCCACATTAATAAAAGAAACATTACTATCTGATTTAACTTTGGTAAGTGATATTTATCCAGAAAGTTGTCCATTTCCTTGAAGTTTTTCGATTTTGTGGAATACAGGTTTTTGAAATATGGCCTAAATGATTCTCTGTATTTCCTCTGTGTCTGTTGTTATGTTCCCCTTTTCATCTCTGATTTTGTTAATTTTGTTAATTTGTTAATTTTGATATTCTCTCTCTGCCTTTTGGTTAGTTCAGATAAAGATTTCTCTATCTTGTTGATTTTCTCAAGGACCGACTCTTTTTCTCATTGATTCTTTGTATTGTTTTCTTAGTTTCTATTTTGTTGATATCAGCTCTCAGTTTGATTATTTCCTGCTGTCTTGTTCTCCTGAGTGAGTTTGCTTATTTTCATTCTAGAGTTTTCAAATATTCTGTTAATTCTCTAGTGTGAGATTTTTTTCCAGCTTCTTTATGTAGGCATTTAGTGCTATGCACTTTCCTCTTGACATACCTACGAACACCTGATTTTTTGACAAAGAAGCAAAAAGTATAAAATGAATAAAAGAAAGCATATTCAGCAAATGGTTCTGGCATAACTGGATATAAACGCGGAAAAATAATGAAAATAGATCCATATCTATCACCATGCACAAAACTCAAGTCCAAATGGATCAAAGACCTCAACATAAAGCCAGCCACACTGAACCTCATAGAAGAGAAAGTGGGAAGTACACTTGAACGCATTGGCACAGGAGACCACTTCCTAAATATGACCCAGTAGCACAAACACTAAGTGAAACAATAAATAAATGGGACCTCCTGAAACTGAAAAGTTTCTGTAAAATAAAGGACAAAATGGTAGCCTACAAAATGGGAAAAGATCTTCACCAACCCCACATCAGACAGAGAGTTGATCCCCAAAATATATAAAGAACTCAAGATACTGGTCTTCTAAAGAACAAACAATCCAATTTTAAAAAATGGGGTTCAGACCTAAACAGAAAACTCTCAACAGAGGAATATTAAACGACTGAAAGACACTTAAGAAAATGCTTAACAGCCATCAGAGAAATGCAAATCAAAACAACTCTGAGATTTCATCTTACACCTGTAAGAATGGCCAAGATCAAAAACACTGATGACAACTTGTGCTGGAGAGGTTGTAAGGAAAAAGGAACACTCCTCCATTGCTGGTGGGAATGCAAGCTGGTACAATCCCTTTGGATGTCAGTGTGGCGATTTCTCAGAAAAATAGGAAATAACCTTTCTCAAAACTCAGCAATACCACTTTGGGGTATATACTCAAAGGATGCTCAATCATACCACAAGGACACTTGCTCAACTATGTTCACAGCAGCATTGTTTGTCATAGCCGGAACCTGGAAACAACCTAAATGCCCCTTGACTGAAGAATGGAAAATGAAGAAAAATGTGGTACATTTACACAATGGAGTACTACACAGCAGAAAAAAATAATGACATCTCGAAATTTGCAGGCAAATGGATGTATCTAGAAAACATCATATTGAGTAAGGTAACCCAGACCCAGAAAGACAAACATCATATGTACTCACTCATAAGTGGCTTTTAGACATGAAGCAAAGATAACCAGCCTAGAAATCACAATCCCAAAGAACATAGACAACAATGAGGACCCTAAGAGGGAGATACATGGATCTAATCTACATTGGAAGTAGAAAAAGACAAGATCTCCTGAGTAAATTGGAAGCATGGGGACCATAGGAGAGGGTTGAAGGGGAGGTGAGAGGCAGGGAGGGGAGCGGAGAAAAATGTATAGCTCAATAAATTGAAAGAAAAAGAAATGAAGGAAGAAAGGAAGGAAGAAAGGAAGGAAGGAAGGAAGGAAGGAAGGAAGGAAGGAAGGAAGGAAGGAATATGCCTTCTTCTCAACATCTCATGGAACCGTCTCTTCTAAAACTGATCACATACTTGGTCACATAGCAAATCTCAACAGATATAAAAAAAATGGAATAATCCCCTGTATATTATGAGATCACCAAGGGTTAAAGTTAAAATTAAACAACACAAACTACAGAAAGCCTACAAATTAATGGAAACTGAACAGTTCTCATCTGAATTACTACTGGGTCAAGAAAGAAATAAAGAAAGAAATTGAAGACTTCCTAGATTTCAATAAAAATTAAACCACAGCATACCCAAATTTATGAATACAAAGAAAGCAATGCTAAGTGGAGAGTTCATAGTACTAAGTGCCCATGTAAAGAATTTGGAGAAATCTCACACTAGTAACTTACCAACACACCAGAAACCTCTAGAAAAAAAAGAAACAAATTCACCCAGGAGGAGTTAGATGGTAGGAAACAATCAAACTCAGGACTGATATCAATAAAATAGGAGCAAAGAGAGCAGTACAGAGAATCAGTGAAACAAAGAGTTTGTTCTTTAAGAAAATCAATAAAATAGGCAAATCCTCATCCAAAGTAACCAAAAGATAGAGAGAGAGACTATCCAAATTATCAAAATCAGAAATGTAAAGGGGGCATAACAACAGACACTGAGGAAATCCATGTAATCAACACCAGAAAATCAAATCCAGGGAATCAAATTTAGAAAATCTAAAAACACTATAGTCCACAAAATTGAAAAAATCTAAAAGAAATGGACAATTTTCTGGATAGGTACCACATTTCCAAATTAAATTGAGACCAGATAAACAACTTAAATAGACTTATTTTCCCTAAGGAAATAGAAGCAGTCATTAAAAGTTTTTCAGTCAAAATATCCCAGGGCCAAAGGGTTTCGCAACAGAATTCTAGCAGAATTTTAAACAAGAGGTAATACTATTACTCTTCAAATTGCTCCACAAAAGAGAAACAAAATTTGTGAAGCTAGTCTCCCTGATACCCAAGCCATACAAAGTTGTAACAACAACAAAAAGATAATTACAGTCCAATTTCCTTCATGAACATTGATACAAAAATACTTAATAAAATACTGGCAAACCAAATCCAAGAACACATCAAAATAATTATCCACCACAACCAAGTAGGCTTCACTGAAGAGATGCAGGGTTGGTTCAACATACAAAAATCTGTCAGTGTAATCCACCATTCAAACAAACTGAAAGAATAAAACATAATCATCTCATTAGATGCTGAAAAAGTCTTTGACAAAAACCAACACCCCTTGGATTTTGATAAAGGTCTTGAAAAAATTAAAGATACAAGGAACATATCTAAACATAATAAAGGCAATTTACAGCAAGCTGACAGTCAACAGCAAATTAAATGGACAGAAACTCAAAGTGATTCCACTAAAATCAGGAACAAGACAAGCTGTCAACTCACTCCATATATTCATATAGTACTTGAAGTTCTAGCAAGAGAGATAAGACAACAAAAGGGGACCAAGGGGATACAAATTGGAAAGGAAGAAGTCAAGCTTCTCCTGTTTGAAGATGATATGATAGTGTACATAAGTGGCCCCAAAAATTCTACCAAGGAACTCCTACAGCTGAAAAATACCTTCAGTAATATGCTGGAATACAAGACCAACTTGAAAAAAATCAGTGACTCTCCTATAAACAAATGATAAAGGGGTTTAGAAAGAAATACATCACCCTTTATAATAGTCACAGGTAATATAAAATATCTTGGGGTAACACTAACCAAACAAGCTCTTTTGAGAAGAGCTTTAAGTCTTTGAAGAAAGAAATTGAGGAAGATATCAGAAAATGGAAAGATCTCCCACACTCATGAATAGGTAGGATCAACATAACAAATATAACAATCTTACCAAAAGCAATCTACAGATTCAATACAATCGCCATCAAAATCCCATCACTATTCTTTACAGACCTTGAAAGGCCAATACTCAGCTTCATATGGAAAAACAAAAAATCCAGGATAGTTAAAGCAATTCTGTACTATACAGGAACTTCTGGAAGCATCACCATCTCTGACTTCAAGGTCTATCATAGAACTATAGTAACAAGCTTGGTATTGGCTTTAAAACAGACACATAAATCAATGGAATCAAATCAAGGACCATGACATAAGTACATCCACCTATGAACACCTGATTTTTGACACAGTAGTTAAAATTAGAAGAAAAAAACTTTAACAAACAGTGCTGGCTTAACTGGATGGAGGATTGTAGAAGAATTCTAGTAGATCCGTATCTATCACCCTGCATAAAATTTAAGTCTAAGTGGATCAAAGACTTCAATGTAAATCCAGTTACACTGAACCTGATAGATGAGAAAGTAGGGGGAATAGGAGGAGTGGGGGAACTGGTTGGCATGTAAAATAATGGGAAAGTGTTATTTAAATAAAAACAAACAAACAAATAAGCGTGTTTTACTAGAAACTGTGCTTTAAAGACCAATGAGTGAATTGAATTATTTTCTATTACTGTTTTGGCTTACTTTCTTAGCGTATTAGAAAGTGATTTTCTAGTTTTAATTTCTTCTGCATAAAGTTGTTTACATTTTTCCATTTCTCTTCTAGTAGAATCTACTTGATTTTTTATCTCAGGGATCTTTGATTCCAAGTTTTTTATTCTGAGTACCATTTGACTCATTCTTGAACCATTGTTGTTCTCTCTTAATTTCTCTAATTTTTTTTCCTCTTCTGTTTGTGTCTAAAAACAAATTAAAAGTAAATGATTTTAAATAACTATATCAAAAGTGAATACTATATATGCATTTCTAGAGTTCATAAATATATATATACTCATATATCTATATAGTTTATATATATATGTGATACAATATATTTGATTCAATCATATATATATGATACAAAATGCTAGACTTTAAAATACTTATCTTCAATTCTAGTTCTATAGAAATGCATTAAATCTGAGTCATAAAATATAACTTACTCTTCTTTTTTGCTGGAGAAAATCTAATCTGGAGCCTCATGCATACTGTTTACATTGTCTGCCACTCTGCTATGTCATCAGCTGAGAGCCATTCATTTCAGTGCTCTACTACCAGATGACTTAAGTGATAGTATCAAGCAAAAATATAAAACTTCAACATTGTAACTTAAGAACAAATCTATGAAATGATGCAATTTTGCCCCAATAGTCCTTTTACATACAAACTATCTTTAAAAATCAAATAATTCAAAGCAAAAATAATTATAATGCATAATGGAAACTAGAATTTTACAGAAAGGAACTTGGGTCATCTGTCTTCCAGAATTTTAGAAATCAAATTTCTGCTTAAAAGAAAAAAAGGAAGGAAGGAAGGAAGGAAGGGTGAGGGGAATGCACAATAGAATTATTCAAAAATGTAATTCTTGGTGAAATGAATCTAAGCATGCTACAAGAAATTATCATGTAAAATCAGACTATCTTGTAATGTTTCCATTATGTGTTGCCTTGTTCCTTCCTAGATCTCTTTTCACACTATTGAACGAATCCTGACTTACCATGGTCTCTTTAATCAGACTTTTGAGGGTTAGTACTTCTTTTTCCACATTTTGTTGAGTCTTGTGTGTGTGTTCATAATTATCCTGGTCTGTTTTTATTTTCAACAATTCTTGCTCAGTCAATTGAATGTTTATATCTTGTTGTAGATATCTGCAATGTATTGGGCCCCATGTTTCTTTAAGATAATTGATCTAAATGAAGAAAGTTAGTTTGTAATAAAGGATTTAGGTTGAAGATAGTCTAATACAGAATCAGTGTGTAATTTTGACATAAACACAGTTGTAACTTATTAAAATCTATAGCAGAATATTAGGGAGTAGCCTCCTAAATTTCTCAGAAGTCACCAGAAATCACAGAACTATACTGTTTGAACTAAGCGTTTACATCACAAAAATGCACACTCACTCTTAGGCTTTCATTGCTCTGTAATTGTTTCATGTTTTCTTTCTTTTATAAAAAGCACAGAGTTTAGTGCCTTATTTAGTCACACTAAACATATTATATAAGAATTAAGGGAGAAAGCCAAGATGGGTAATGATGGCACAAGCCACCTTTAATCCCAGCACTTGGGAGGCAGAGGCAGCCACATCTCTGAGTTTGAGACCAACCTGGTCTACAGAGTGAGTTCCACAACAGCCAGGTCTACACAGAGAAACTGTATCTTGGAAAAAAAAACAGAAGAAGAGGAGGAGGAGGAGAAGGAGGAGGAGGAGGAGGAAGAGGAGGAGGAGAAGGAGGAGGAGGAGGCAGAAGAGGAGGAAGAAGAAGAACAACAACAAACAACAAGAAGAAGAAAAGAAAGAAAAAGAAAGAAAGGAAGGAAAGAAGGAAAGAAGGGAGAAAAAGAGGAAAGAAAGAGAGAGGAGAAAGAAAGGGAGGAAGGAAGAGAGGAAGGAAGGGAGAAAAAGAATCAAGAGTGGTTTTGTGGGTAGAAAATAACACATTTAGTTAAGGCAAAGTGCATCTGAAAACAAACTTAAGTAAGATTTCTCATCAGTATCCTCTCTGAGACGATCTTTCTGAGTCCCCCAAAGCAAACATAGAATAGACACACACTAAATGCTGCTTCCTTTCGCTTCTTCCCTTCTCAAGAAGTGGCAGCAGAGGCTAATTTTAAGGTACTAGATTCTCCAGTTCCACTTCTGTTCTCTTCTCTGAATTCTATTACTAGAACCAGCACACGGGAAGCACAGCTCTAAAAGAACAGACTCCAAAAGCAGCCAAAGAGGGCCTATGTTCCAGGGCACACATTCAAATGAAGAACTGGAAGATTCAGCAAACCTGCAGGAAGAAGAGGGTAGAATTTGACGAAACCTCCTTGACCATGAAGGCTTTGAAGGTAGCTATGTAAGTCTGGAGGCACTTATAACACACCTGCGCAGGTAGAGTGCAAAGGCTTTCTCCTGTGACAATAGAGGTGTGCCCAGGACTGACAATTTAAGTCACCTAATCCTGGATCAGTTCTGTGGTCTGGAGCATTCTGGTCCCCAGCTACCCTACATCCAACCTCCTGTCTTCCCACCTCACTATCTGCCCCTGCCTTCCTCTGACACGGTATGTTCTAACTCACTGTGTTTAATTTAACATTTTAATGACACAAAGTAACTGCCTTGCCCCTTTACTATTTTCAGGGGTACTGGACAATACTTAACACAGCCCTCAAGTATCCCTGAAAGTAAAACTGTTCGATGAAATAGCTAGACTAATCCTGAGAATCTTGTATGGATGAACCCCCAGGGCAGGTGCTTTGGTCACAGGCAGGCTCAGTACTCATAGGCTCTCTTATAGATGACATTTCAAGTTGCTAAAGGTTGGCTCATTTCCTGGAATATGGGTACCTTGGATTCCATTCCACAGGATGTCTGAAGACTTCAGACCTTAGTTTAGACCTACACTGGAAAACGTGTTACCTGTCAGGAAAACACTATTCCTAGGATCTTTATCCAGAGGACCTGGATTTTACATTTATTTTGTTGATAATGAAACAAGGTCTTGTTCTAATTGGTGGCAATCCTATTGCCTTGGTCTTCTGGGTGTTTGGATTACAAGTGTACATATCACATGTGTTAGATACTCTAGGGAGTAATAAATCACTGGGAGAAGAAGGGCTCACTTAACTAGCTCATCGATACCTTCCTGGAACTCCTTTCTCTTCTCCCTTCCTTCTTCCCTTCATTCCATTCATATTTCTTTTTTTCTGTTGTTAGCTTTCCCAAGTTACCTGGCCAAGATGGTTAAGCCATAATTGGAGTCAGTGTCAAATTCCCTTTGATAATTCCCTGTGTCTGCAGGTAGAAGTCAAAGGTTACAGTTATTTCATTCAGCCTCTTCCTCCCAGGTCTCCTATTCAGACAGTGCAAACCAGTGGGGCATGTGACCAACTTGGAAAAGCCATGAAAGGCAAGGCAACTTTTCCAAAATGGGCCTCAAAGACAAGTTCTCCCATGTTACTGGCATCTGAATTACTTGGAGAACTTGTTAGGAAGGCAGATTCCCAGGACCCCATTTCCCAGTCCCTGCGTGGTGAAAAACAGACATGTTGGGAAGGTGGGGGAAATGAATTGTACCTAAGACAAAAACATAGAGGACAGGGATCATGAGAAGTAAAAACAGTGTAGGAAACATGGATGGAATGAGCGGAAAGAGAAAAGAAAAGAACCACAAGTTTACAAGCATGGCTCATCGAGGGGCTTGCGGATGATGTCAGAAAGAGGGCAGCGTGTGGAGAAAGTTTTCATGAGCCCTACTTTCCCATGAACACCAAGTTCGTCAAACAACAGCCTCATCAAGATCCAGAATAGTAGGCTAGGCAAATAGGCCATATACAAGAAAGAATATCTGCCAGAGAGACGAAACAGATGTGGTTAAGCATCACCCTTGTTGGCGTGGCTACTTTGAGAGGAAAAGTAATTTCGCTTATGAGACATAGATTGGTTCTGGTACCCTAGACTACAGGTGAACTCACTGGGCAGAAACAGTAGTAGTGGTAGTAGTGGTAGGAGTGGTAGTAGTAGTGGTAGTAGTAGTAGTAGTAGTAGTAGTGGTAGTAGTGGTAGTAGTGGTAGTGGTAGGAGTGGTAGGAGTGGTAGGAGTGGTAGGAGTGGTAGGAGTGGTAGGAGTGGTAGGAGTGGTAGGAGTGGTAGGAGTGGTAGTGGTAGTGGTAATAGTAGTAGTAATGAACTCTGTCTTACTGCCTTTAATCTAATCAATGCATGATCTGACTTTTCACAGTCTAGATAAGATACAAACCTGGATTAGCTATTTGAGGGCCTCTTGTCAAGGTAGACCCAGAGGTGTGTACTGACATCTTATCACTCACCCAATACAGTACACAATAGCTGATGTAACCTATAAGGGCACTTACATGCAAGTTTAACAACCTCAGTGCAATCTCAAAACCCATATAAATGTGGAAAGGGAGAACTGACTCCACAAAGGTGTCTTCCAACCTCCACGGAGAATGCATGCATATACACACAAACACACACCATCTACATACACATTAATAATAATAAACAATATTTTATTTTCACATACTTAATGGACAAAGAACTTGGAGTCTTATGTTTCCCCAAATTGAAAGCTTTCAGATCTTGAAACTGATTTAAAATTACCTCATGTCTTAGCATTTCAAATGTTCTGCTTTTCATATCTTCATAGAAATGTAATTCTCTATTTTCACACTCATTTAACTTTTTTCTTATTACTTTTAAGACTTCCATAAATCTGTAGGAATAAAGATTAGCATGTAAAATTTTAACTGTAAGCACTTAAATAATATTTAAGCAGATAGTAAAGAAGCAGTTTATAAAGTATCTGCTTGTCTTATTTGTACAATCTAAAACAACTGGAAAGTATTCTGAAGAAAATTCATATATACAGGAAACCTCAAAACCTGCCCCAACAGTGACAAACTTCCTCCAACAAAACCACACCCACTCCAACAAAGCCATACTTCCTAAAAGTGCCACTCCTTTTGTGGACCATTTTCTTTCAAACCACTTCATATATATTCTTGGAGAATTTCATACACTGCATTTTATTTTTTATTTTTATGGTATGCCTATGGGTGTTTTTGCTTGCATGTATGTATATGTACCACATGTGTGTACCTGGTGCATACAGAGGCCATAAGAGGGTGTTAGAACTCCAGGGACTGGAATTACAGGTATTTGTGAGCTGCCATGTGGCTGCTAGGAATCAAACCCTGGTCCTCTGGAAAAGTAACAAGTGCCCTTAACACTCAGGCATCTCTCTAGCCCACATATAATGTACCTTAATCATGATTCCCCCCCCAATACTCTACCCCACAACTCCTCCCAGAGCCATCTCTCTCCCCCATGTTATATTCATTTTATGTATTTACTTTAGAAGGAACTATTTTTGCAGCAGATTTCCTGGTCCTTTGTCTCTTACAATATTTTGACCCCTCTTCCACAATGTTCCCTGAGTCTAAAGTGCAGGGGTCGTGTTGTAAATGCATTAATAGGGGGCAGGCAACCCCAAGATTTCTTATCTCTGCTTTTGATCAGTGGTGGCTTATGAGAAAAAAATTACGATTAGTTTGACAGATGAACGTGTAACCACACACAGAATTGTTTGGGAAACACAAGTTTATTTTTAGTACTATACTGATTATTTTTCTCACACCATGACAAAATATCTGACAAAAGCAATGTGTGAAGGGTCATTCTGGCTTACAGTTTTAAGGTAGCACCCTTCCTAATGGGGAAGTCACAGTGATCAAAGCTGCTTTCACCATGGTGATCGGCAGGTCATTTTGTGTTGAGTAGTTGGGGAAGAGATAAATGCTGGTATTCAACTGAATCTCTTTTTCACTTTTTATTTAGTCCATAATTCTAGCCCATGAGACAATGTCACCTATATTCAGGGTAGATCTTTCCTCCTCAGTTAGACATTTCTGGAACACTTTCACAGATGAACCCAGAAATGTGTCTCTTAGTTGATTTTAAATCCAGTCAAATTGAAAATGAAGGTTATTATATGTCCATCCCTTATCAACTTGACACCCAAATACAACTTTTTTGGTTTTCTCAAGACAGGGTTTCTCTGTGTAACAGCCCTAGTTGTCCTGGAACTCTCTTTGGAGACCAGGCTGGCCTCAAACTCGCAGAGGTCTGTGGTGTAGGAGGATCTTCTTTCTATGTGTTGCTTTCACTGGTTAAATAAAGAGACTGCCTTGGCCTTTTGATAGGGCAGCAGCTTAGATAGGTAAAGTAGACAGAATAGAATGCTTGGAGAAAGAAGGCAGAGAGAGAGAGAGCTGCCTGCCATGAAGCTGCCAGGTCAAACATGTTGAATCTTTCCCAGTAAGCCATGGCCTCGTGGTGCCATACAGAGTATTAGAAATGGGTTAAATCAAGATGTGAGAGTTAGCCAATAAGAGGCTAGAACTAATGGGCCAGGAAGTGTTTAAATGAATACAATTTGTGTGTTGTTATTTCAGGGTATAAGTTAGCCAGGCGGCCCGGAGCCAGGCAGCAGGAAGCGGCCCACCGCTCCTTTACAACAGGTCTGCCTGCCTCTGTTTCTCAAGAGCTGGGATTAAAGGCATGTGCCATCACACCTGGCTTCACACCACTCTTAAATCACAGCACTCTGTATCTTGCTCATGGGCATCTCTTAATGCAAAATGAAGGTATTTCATCTGGAACAATTCTCCAAGATCTTAACAGTTCTAACACTGTTCAAAAGTCAAACATTCAAAGTCTCTTTTGAGTCTCAAGGCAATCTCTTAACTGTAGCCTCTGTAAAATCAAAACCTAAGCTACATAATTCCAATATACAATTGTACTAAATAAACATTCCTATTCCAAAAGGAAGGGATGAAGGTATAGCAAGGAAAGGTCAGAGCTATGTCAGGCTTGAACAGAACAGGCAAAGACCAACACTTCAGCCACCTGCCTGGCTTCTGGGGCTCGTGACATAATTGCCTGAGTTCCAAGAGCCTTGGATAGACACCCATACTCCTCATTCTCTACTGCCTATAGGACATGTAACCTCCCTCTTAAATGTGCTCCACTATGTCCCTTTAGTTTTTATTGGTGAATGTCCCATGGTTCTGATATATGCAGCATCCTATGATCTCCACTACAGCTTAGACTTCACCATCATAGCTTCATGCAGCTACTTCTCAAAATATCCTGTATGGAATTTGCCCCTGCCTCATTGCCTGACTTCAGAAGCTTTCAAGGCCCCTAGTGAGAACCTTCATGACCCTGTAATTCTTAAGTTTTGCATGCATGAAAAACCAGCACCATGGGTATGGTGTTGTCCATCTGAGATGTATTCTGACCCCTTCTGCCACAGCTGTAGTGGCTGCTGCATGCCGTGGAATCTAAACTGAGAAAATTCCCTTGGTAACTGTTCTTAGGCAGGGAAGCCCTTCAGAGGCATTATCGGTTTCAGTCTCTCTCATTTCAAAGGAATTTGTAATTTTATGAGCTTGGGCTTTTGATGACCAGAGTCTCATCCTCAAGGTTCCTTTCCTATTATGCCAATACAAAGTGTGAGGTTCCTCATTAATTCTGCTAAACTGCTTTACAGTGACAGATGCTTTCTCCATACTGGCCTCATCTTCAAGTTAAACTTACACTGCATTCCTCACTGAAATGTACTCCTTTTTCACAACATTCTGTTCTACTGGCCATCTCACTTCTATCTATCTATCTATCTATCTATCTATCTATCTATCTATCTATCT